GTCTCCTGTCCCTGGTACAGACGCACTGCCTGAGGAAGGCTATGTGTATTTTGTCATTAACCTTTTTCGGACCACTTATTTATTTAGGTGACGATCCGACCTGCATGCTGCTACTCTGGTTCAAACTGCATCCAACAAATAATGTGATTTGTTTCCACCTTCCCAAAAGAACCAAAATCTGACAGTGTGAGATGTCTTTTTTAGCTGTTCTGTCGTCATTTCCGCACGCACGTCCTACGCCGGTATGCAGTGTTTTATAAATTGGAAAATGTCTGTGCGTATTTATTTGCTTTGTCCTACGTAAGCAACCTTCCCACGTGAATCCTACGCAAGGCTTTATAAATGAGGCCCCAGGTGATTTTGGATACTGTGATTAAGTTGAAATAAACCATCAAGACGTACCCGTCTTCCATGACTACATAAGGTCTTCACTAAAGGTATGAACTTTTGAAACACAATTCTGAAAGAAAATCTCTTTGCAGACTAAGCTGCCTAAGAAATATAACCTTGGATAAAACGGCCACCAGACTAAATATTTATACCCTCATATTAAACATTCAACTCTCACTGAAATTGTTTGCCAGTGAATGTTTGACAGTGTTCTGTATAATAATATGAATTACTTACATTTTTGTAGCGCTTTTCATGTACCCAAGGACACTTATAGATGATAGCAGAAACATTTGAAGAGTTTGCCAAAATTGTGAGCAAATTGTGTCACGGTATTAAACCAAATGTCCCGGTCCTATAGTTTAAGTAGCATTACAAAAGCTTTTTTCCGCCATAATAGTGGGGCATATATGCATCGTCTTTAACACAGGAAAACCCGCTTCAAATAGAAAAAAGACCGTTTTCCCTGTGCCAGAAGGCGAGTATCTCTTTTTCTCTGGTGTGTCACTTTAGACATCACAATTGCACCAGCAGCACCAGAAGTAGGTGAAGAGTGAACACATGTTATGCGTGTTTGTTTTTTTGTTACCGTTACTTATTTAGTCTCTTTTTAAATGTTCAAAGACAGAGTTATTGATTGTTGAAAAATAAAAAACTGTTAAGGAGTTTTAGTTCTGTTGAGTCATCAATGAAGTGTTTTTCATGACAACGATTAGCGAAAGAAAACTACACTGTTCTGGAGTCAGGTGGCTTTGAGAATTTGTTGTTCTTTGATAATTATAGAAAATGTTCAAACCCCTGTTGTTATATCACCGTGCGCCAGATAGCATCATATTGGAAGATGAATAGGTCCGCTACAGACAAAACATATTGTGACTACCGCAGAGTCATGTCTCCCAGGAATAAAGGCAGATTGTTACCTTTAACCTGATTTTTCCCTAGGGAAAGTATATTAAATTGATTGATTGATTGATATCCAATGAAGACAGACGCCATAGGTTAGTGGGTTATTTTTTCCAGTGGGAAAGGGAAGCTTCCTGTCTTCATCAGCATTAAAATAAATAAATGAGTTACAAAAAAGTAAAACAGCAATTTTTAATCGAATTAGCTTCCCATTACCTTGTCTCGGGGTGTGAGGCAACACACTGCAGAAGTGCCAGGGCATTGCACACCCTGTTGGACTGGTGAGCTGTAAGCGTAGGTGGGTTTATAGATGGATAGATGTTCACTATTTCCTAATGAAGAGAAAGAAAAAGACGAGGTACAAAATCAGTTTTTCATCAAGGCCACACAACAGCAGATATAATGAACATCAGAATCAGAATACCTTTATTTGCCCCACAGAGGGGACATTTACATACAGGTGTAGTGACTGAAGAGATACTACAGCTTGGGTTGGGATATGGTTCATACCTGCAGCAGGGCAGCAATAGTGCCACAGGAGTGCCAGAGCATCGGTGCCAGGTCTGGCACAGACTCTCGCTTCTTGCTAAGCTCCAGCAAGGCATTTTCTCTGGTCTCTGGACTGGACAACTCATTGATCCATTGGTAGATCTTCTCCCGGTCTACCTGGGCCAGGGCTGTGACGTTAGTTACAGCCTGTAAGGGGAAGGGTAGATATTCAGCAAGTGCATCGATCATCGACAAATGAATTAAGCCTTGGAAACATACTGTGTATCAATGTGATACCATTAGTAAAGACACTTACTACAACACATCATATATGTATAATATATGTGGGCCCATTCACAATAAGGCACCACATTATTGCTATGAAAATATATAAAAATGTGTCTGATTTTGTGAGTGTTTATTGGGAAGTTTTGCTGAGATGTTATTGCAAACTTTGCAGCCAAACATTGTTCATTGTGATCGCTATATTTTTAAATATACTCAATTTGTCAGACTGATTTTGGGGAAATACAGATAAATAAATATAAGCCATCTAGAATATCTACAATGGCTGAAACGGTGTAACGTTAACCATACAAAAATGGAGTCTTAGAATGAATGCACATATTTTACTCAGTGTAAAGATTGTAAACACAATGTGTATGTATAATAATGTCAGAAATTATTCGTCAAGATGCTATTAACAATTAAAGCCCAATAACAAAAGGGGGATGAGTGTTGAGACGGTTGATATCTTTCTGTAACGTTATAATGAAATTAGATACTCACAGCTCCCGTGGCCAGCATTCTCTGAAGCTCTTTGTGGTCCAACCGTGTTGTTAAACTACTGCTTCAGCTAACGTGTTGTGTATTGCCAAACTAATGTGGCAGCAATGAAACAAATTTGACGTAATTAACACAAAGTAAGGGCAGCTAGCCCAAGCTAGCTGCTAGCGTCAACGTCTTGACAAATGGAATCCGGTAGTTCCGCGCGCACATCAACGTTACAAGCAACGTAACTTCATTGCGGTAACAAAACGTTAATATTTTTGATCATTCTTGATAGAAACCAGCCTCGAAAGTTCAAATTTGAACGTTATTGTACAATAAACATAATCCAATGGCGAGTTTTTTTTGCGGGCAATGGTGGCAACCTAAATACATATAATTAAGATATCGCGAGAGCTCAGTCGGACCGGATCGGACGCACTCTCGGTTATCATTTCCGTTGTAAATGTTCACATTCCCGCCATCATCGCGCAGTGTTGCGAGGCGTTGTGTGCGGGTCCACTGTCAACAACATACATACTGGGAGCAGGTGAATGCCGGCAAAACAAACGTTCTGCTCTCGGAGGACCTACGACAACGATACCGTGAGATAAAAGTTTCTAGAAGAAAACACATAACCGACAGGTAACGAACTGCGCAGGTTTAACCAAAGGGTGACCCTGTTTTCATCCCCAAATTAAAATCAAGCAAATTAGCCAGTTAGCTAGTTCCCGCTAGCCTGCTAGCCAACTAGCTAATGTTGGCCTCCCCCATCCATTCAGCTTCTATAGATGGGGGGACGACCGCTACATCCCAGACATTCGGCCTGGCTGTAATGTCACCCTAGGTGCTTCTTTGTAACTTTGTCCGGTAGCTCAATTGTATGACGTTTATTATTGTAACAATTATGTCAACCAAGAAAATAGTAATGAGCGCCGGTCGCAGTGTCGTGCATCTTCGCTTTGCTGGGCTAGTTTGAAGGCTAATGCATGCAAGGCTGCATTGACTCTTACTGAAACCGCTAGCCAGCTAACATAAGTGGCTTAAGTTTTCCCACTTCGTGAGACATTCACCCCTGTTAGTTAAATATTTGCCGTGAGTTTATCATCTGTGTTAATATGAGCTGTTGTGCTAACGGTATGTGTCTTGTGGTCGACTTAAGTTTGTTGTGACTTTCAACAAGCGCTCAGTTGTACAACGTTGGCCATAGCGGGCTAGCTTGGATGCATTATAAATAGTTTATTAGCTGATGAACATATGTATACGTAACACAAGTTTTTTAACAACAGGTGCAATAAAAGTGCTTAAGATGTATATAAATCAGGTATGGTTTATCATTGAGTTCTTGCCTCCTTTTTTAAAGAAATGGATGGAATAATAACGGTTTTATGGTGGCAAGATGGTTAAAACATGTCCCTTTTAATAATCCATTCTATATAAACATTAACTGTGAGATGGGTAATATATGACACAATGTGGTTTAATAAACTAATTTAATTAGATTTCCTTCTTGTTTTAGGATTTGTTTGGTTACAAGTCCAAGCCTCCAAAGTGCACCAACTGGATACTAGTAAGCCATGTCAACCATAGTGCCCAAACTCTCCAGCGGTGGCGCCAGTGTTAAGATCCGCCTTACCAGCCTTGATCTGGGCACCACCAGATGGAAAGAGGGAACTTTTGAGATTCTGGAAAAGGACAACAAAATCAACCTATGTCTAAGATTTAACTGTGGTGGAGCCTCCAAAATTTTCCAGGTATTATTCAAACTCTGTTCTGGGTGTTTATTCAAAAATGACAACTACAAATGACTTAAACATAACGTTAGATTCTGAAGGAGTACCCTTTCTTAAATGTTTCAATGTTATATTTTGAGATACAGCGCTATCCAGACATCTGTCTCATTTGTAGAAATGTCATCAGAGCAGTAATAGATGAATCTCCCTTCAACCACTTATCAAAAGACTTTGGAAAAACAGTTGATATGGCAGCTGTTGAAGAGAAGCTTGTATAGCAAACAATAACATACCACCTTACTCTCTGCCTGTTCCTTAACTCTGCCGTTATTTACTTTGTCAATCTCAATGTTTTTAACGTTTGCATCAGCAATACTGTAAAATGTCCAGAAATTGAAGGTACAATTTAAGTTAGGAACACAATACAAAGACTATATTTCCCACATATACATAATAATTCCCACCAACATTTAGAGATATATTTTAGTATGGACTTTTGACAGTCATGGGGAAGGACTTATACATTTTAAGAAATGACAGTCATAAAGGAGAACACTTGCACATAAGTGAACCAAAACATGACCTAGTTTATTAGTTTTTGTCTGGCTAATAAGTGCTGCAATAGAGATCTAAGTACACTGTGAAAAATGCTACTTTTGGATGAGAAATTTAAAGTAAACAAATGGCTCGGAGGAAAAAACACGATTTAAGTAAACCGTTAAATGCATGGATAAAACCATGTAAATTACTTACTCAGCATAACACTAATGGGCTCTTAAAGTATACAGTTATTATTAATTGGAAAACATACTAATTGAATAAAACTACAACCAACGTATCTTGTATTGTTTTCTTAGCTGAACCAGAACTTGAAGACCGTTAGCCAGAACCTGAACCGTATCATGCTGACTTTGAAGGACAACAGTGTCATCGTCCTGGATAAGATTCCTCCAACTTTGCTTCAGAAGACTAAAGAATTTTTGGACAAACTGAAGACTGGAAAGCCAGGTAATTACACCACTGCTCATTTTTCTTTGTTCAAACAAAACCAGGGCCCCTCACTGATCCCTTCATTTTCTTATTTTGAGCTTCTGCTTTTCGTGGTTCTGTCGTTACTTCTAAGCACAACACGCACACTTAATGGCAGTTATTTGCTTTGTAGACTCCCATGGGCTAATCGTCATAATACATCAGATTTCAGTTGCAGAGGTTTTTCTGCTTTTTTGTGCCGACTAAATGTTTTGTTTTATGGTGATTGAACTCAATATTTTGAAGCAATTCAAATCAATTGCAATCTTACTCAATAGGTTTCTATACTGTAAACTTTGTTTTGCCACTATAAAAAAGCCATGCACAAAACTTGACTACAAAAGAGAATACTAAGTATTGTTTCAGTTTGACCTTAACTCAGCCTTAGATAAAGAATGGCCGGATTAGATGCCACATTGAAAAAAGTTTGTCCTGTTGCATTTCATTCTGATGAAGTTTGTCCTGTTCCTTCTGCTGCTGATACTGTGTAGTCTCAGCTTACATTTTGATTCTCGCTTTGTTCTTAAAGAAAATGGGTAAGTCTAAGAAAACTGCACTGATCTTCTCTGAGTGTATCTAGCGCCAATTTCTTAAAAAATAACCTTTTTATTATTTATATATTTGTATTCAGAATTTAATTTGAGAAAATCATCATACCTACTGGCCTGGTGTGGTCTTTATTTTTGGACACGTACACACAGTTTCTCAAACTTTCCAACAACTTCTAAAATTGAAATGAGCACAGTAAGTCAGGGATAATATCAATGGTGTAGATACAGGTTGTACAAGCGTATAAATACAATGTAATTGCTACTTGATTGATCAAGTTATCATTTAATTCACATGCTTTGTCCTGAGCTGCCATTTGTCCTTCTTGATTTTGCAGTTTTAAAATCGTCCCACGGAAGCGCAAACCTCAGTGTGCTGGGAAACCGAACTTTGAAAAATGACAGCAATCCTTCGGGGGAGAGACAGGTAAGCTAGAAAACAAAACCTCACTTAAAGTTTGAATGTAGACATTGTACCCTTATAAGATTCCTAACGTCTTCCAGACAACCCAGAGGCGTCAGAGTACAGAAGGCAGAGAGGAGACGACGCCACGGAAACCCCTGGGCAGCCCGAGCAGAGCCACCTCCACTCCCACCCGCACGGGACTCTCTGAGAACAGGTAGGATGGAAATTCATATTGTTGTTTATGGCAAGTTGTGTTTTGTTAACAATTTGTCTTTTTTTAAAGCAGCCAAATACAAGGCTATGTGTGCTCTATCCTCATTGGAGACAATTGAAAGGGTGCTTTTTGGACACTGGCCTTTAAACTGAGAGTCTTTCTTAATGCAGACTTCAAAACATCCCATTTTGCAGTTGATATGTTACTCAGTTAAGTCATGGTCAGTTCATGCTTGTGACATAAATTGTTGCTTGTCACTGTTTTTCAGGAGTGAGAAAAGAAAGAGACTCATCACCTCTGAAAGTGACCTGACTGAAGACTACCCCAAGGAAAATGACTCATCGAGGTAATAGCAACATCACTGCCCACATTGACCTGCAGGGCTTGTTGGATACACATGAATCCACCTGACTTCTGTAGGTTTTTGTCAAGATATGGTATCTAGGTTTTTGGTCTTTTTTTCTCCTCATCAGACGGTTACAAGAATTGAAACATGTACCGTGTTGTAATTAGTTTTATATCCATATATTATTTTGCTCGTTTGCCAAACAAACCTTAAGGTTGTTGATCAAAATGCAGAGACATGTTTGGTAACTTCCAAAAACCTGTGTATACATTTTTTAGCAACAACAAGGCCACTTCGGATCCATCCAGGAAGTTTCTACTGAGCTGCAAAGACAAGCTGAAGCAGTCTGAGGAGAACAGGAGCTCAGGTACACTTCTACAACAACACTGCCTATAAACGGCTGCTTAGGACCTCACTGTACACCAGGGGTGCCCAACCAGTCGCGGTCGATCGCGGGGAGGTTCCCAGTCAATCGCGAGATGTGTCTAAAAATAGAACAACAATATTCTGTTTTATCGTTAATGTCCTATAACAGGGTGTCCGCGGGGTCTTAAAAAGTATTAAAAGTTGATAAATAAATTTAGCGAAAATTAAGGCTATTAAAAGTATTAAACGGCATTTTCCAAGGTATTAAGAAGTCCCACAGCAACGACAACATGAAACACCCTTTAATTTACTGAAACGACAGTTCAGGAAACCCCCTCAAGGCGGCCCCATGCATAGCGCGCCGTAAAATGCTGCTTCTTATTTTAAGTTTCGTTGCCTTGCTCTGCTCTGTGGGGGAGGGGGGGGGCACTAAACGACCACGGTAAAGATAACGGGTCCCAGGTCCCAAGGTGGGTAGACCAGCATACGCAACGCTCTGGGGGGTCCAAAGGCTCCGTGTGTAAGCCCTATATGATCATTTTCTGATAACGATGAAATAGCCCCGCCTCCCTCTCCCCACGTCTCACAGGGACGAAAAGAGGGGGAGGAAAAGAGAGGCAGGCACTGTTTATTAAATATTATTATATTATTATACAGAGAACAGAGTCGTTATCAATTTGTTTTAAAGCTCAATAAATAACAAAGAAGACCTCTGACCGGCACTTTTCTAATTTTGTACGGAAGATTTAAACTTTAACGGACATGTTGACCGGCGGAACATTTTTTAACGGAAACTCTGCCGCACGGGGAATATAATTGGGACCCATAAACTCCTTCCCCTCGGATACCGTAATGGGTCGACGTTCGAGTTGTTGTCAAATATATAAAGATCAAGTTGTAAACAGTTAACAAAAACCAAATAACCAGTGTTATGACCAAAGATACCAAAGACTCTCAAAATGCCTAACTTTCTTGTCTCATGTCTTCGTTGTTCGTCGTATGACGTTAATTGGACTGGAAGGTGCTCTCCAACTTCAAGTCCACCTCCTCATCCGAAGTCATCGACACGAAAAAGTAAAGGTCCCCATTTTCGAGAAGCTTTGTAATCTTTGTCATAAACTGTTATTTGTGCTTTGTTCAACGTTTACAACGTTGAATTACGTTTATCAATGTGAAACAACTCGAAGTCGCCCCAATTGCGGTATCCCGAGGGAGAGTTTATGGGTCCCCCAATTTGTTTTTTTTTTTATCCCTGACCCCGACAGGCCCGATTCGGGGACCGTGTATCCTGCTACGAGACTGGCATAGTGGGAGTGTGTAAACAGCATAGCAAATGTTTTTCCTCCATATACAATTCGAAAAAGAGCAAGAATTATATCGATATAGATCCCAGTTATACACACTGCAAAATTTTTATCGTCTAGCAAACACTGGCCTATATCAAACCGAACCTGGGGTCGGCGATGCTCCTGCCGATATGCCATTTGAAATGCGTTTCCGTTTTTTCAGAAGGCAAGTGCTGTGTAAGCTAGTAATTCACAGGCAAGCTGTGAAATTTGGCGACCGACCGTTTACGACCTTTACGACATCATGTATACGGTCGACATTCGAACCGCGCGACGAGGGGCGGGTTTATGTGGTTTCGGTCGCTTCTGCTAGGGCCTCGTAACCAACGGCTACCAACGGAAGGACAAATAAGAGACGCCACCGCCGCACAGAGCGGAAGACTTATAGAGGTCCATCAGTGGTTCCCGGCCTTATGGCTATCCCGTGGACCCCGTTCACGGGTCCCGGAACTCGTTTCTCCGCGGAGTCACTGTTCTAATTTTGATTTTTTTTCAAAGAAAAAAGAAAAACGCCGCCGGCTGTTGGAGTGGAGCTAGTCATGTAACAAAGAGATTACTGTGAGTGAGAAGTGGTATTTGATTGTGTCGCGAAAAGATATCCCAGTTTAATTATAAAAAGATTTTTGGCAGAGTGTACATAGCGATTGAAATTAATTGAGTGCGTCGCCGCCCACATAATCGGCTTAAGTGGAGGCGGGGAGTGAGTACAGTGTAAACACCTGACCGGTTAGCCCCTTATGGCCCTCAAAAGGGCCACCCGGCCCGACAAACACCCGGCACTCCAAAGCGAGTCTCTTAACTTTTTTCATGTTATACGGCGCGTAATTCACCCGGACAGACAGTTAAATTTGGGCACCCCTAGAAAAGGGGGCAGGCGGTGACCCAAAACCCTCCCCCCCCCCGTACTCGCGAGTCACGGGGTCCCGGGACCTCCTATGATTAGGCCGGAACTCAGGGTGTCGTCTACCTTTTGCGGTGGAGAGCGGACGAGAGGGTTCCNGCTTAAAGACTGTATTTATCGTGTGAGTTTGGAAATAAAAGTTTCATATTCTGAAAGCCAAGACTTTGTTTGTTTAAAATCAAACAAAACACCCGAAACCCGAAAAAATAGTTTTTTATGGAAATCCACGTTTATTTTGAAATGAGCCGTTGCGACTTCCGACTGATTTCGATAGAGCGGGTCACATATTCACTTTTATGTTAGCTTAAGGGCAAGAGCTACTTTTTGGGACCTTGGACACCTGTGGGTCAGAAACCCTATACACCTACAAAGAGATTCTGTGCATAAACCTTTGAACTACTCCAGTCTCCCCTCTGGTCGTCAGCTGCATTCCTCCTGCTCCAACTTGTTATTGCTTTTCGTCTTTACTATTCCGCACACGACAAATGCAGTCTGACAGGTGTAATGGCAGGTATCAGATATCAATCCCCCTACAGGGAAGTTAAAGACAAACCACTCAACTAATTTCACAAATGATAAGTGGATAGTCAGAGAGAGGTCATTCCTATTCATTAGCCACAGTAGTTGTTAAATCTGCATTAGTATAATTCTGTTGTCTTTGGCATACCAGGGACATTGACATTGTGGCAGCTGTAAAGGTTGGATCAATTTCAAAAGCATCGCAAACTGAATAGCTCTGTGTTCCACTGTTACAAATGACGACTTTACCCTCTTTTTTGGCCAAGTTTAATTCTCAAGGTCTTTGCAGAGGGAGGACAGAGGAAAAAAAGAGGAGAGGAAGGGACAGTGAAAGGACTGCGCCCTGCATGCTGTAGTCATTAGTTTGTGTGGTGGGGAGCTTTATTGCTTCCCACTCGTGTTAAGTCAATCCAACAATTTACTCTGCTCCCTCTCCTCTGACAGTTTCATGTACGACTGTTATGTCTATGGACGTTTCTGGTCAATCAGTGCAATGTTCTGGATGGGTGAGCCAGCGGTCTGTCAGCCCTCGGGTTGAGGCCGTGCAACTCCTCGAGGCAACATTAGAGTGGGTGGGGCGCTTCATCTTTGAGCCCTTAGCTGGATGGCTGCAGGCCAGTGGCTAGGACTGCCTCCAGCTATTGATGTCATCGTGGCTTTTCTGGTATCAACACCCTGAGGATGTGTGCTCAGCTTAGCCCTGGTTGTTTGTTTCTTAAGGACAACATGTCACAATACCAATCCAAGACTTCCTGTGTCCTTATTTTAGCCACATCTAGCTGCTAGTTGCTAAACATTAGAGACATTAGGAGACACAAGCTAGATGAAGTGTAATCTGGCACGGCTTTTAAAACACTGATTACAGGGTCGACAACAAAGGCCTATTTTTGTGCATTAAAAGTTGCTGACCCGCAGCTGACGGGGGACGATTGTGTTTCACATGCTCCTGCAGGCTTTTCTGTCCTGCTCTCACAGCCCACAGCCACACATACTATCACATTTTCCACCAAAGGGCATCAGCTTCAGCGCTCCAACCTTCACATTGTATTTTTGTCTCTTTTGCATCTGGGCTTGCTAGAACATCACAATGTCACAAGGTCACAAGAGACAGCAGAAGCCTTTTTGAAACTGACTGATGTCACATTCTGGCATGATGTATCTCTGCAACATTTGGCAACAGGGGAAGTGACTGTCAGATCTCCAGATCCTCTCAAGTCTATTGACCGTCCATCACTGTCTCCCTGTTTTCATTGATTTTCCCTTTCATTTCTGCTCCCTACTCCCATACACCCAACTCATCACTCCTCACTGTCTTTCTCTTCTCTCACACTGTACATCTGTCTTTTGGACATCCAGGTGTCTCTTGATTCCTCTGAAGGTAAATATAAGTGACTGTCTATAGAGTGAGCAGAATATGTCGTTGACAATCTCATTCTTCGCAATATCTAATAATAATCATATATTTATGGCAAACATTAGGTATGTCATGAATACTGAAAACGTGACAGTATTGTTTTACTGCAGGGGGGGAGGCTTCCAGGAGGGGAACATGGTTATTTGGTGTCAGCCGAACTAGACATTAACTATACCATTTGAGAGGATAAAATCATAAATAAAAACTGAATTGTTTACAATCTCACTTGAAGAGGTGCTGACCGCAAAGTCTGGCAGATCTGCCAATAAGACACGAGTAATTGTGATAAGATTGGAAGTAACTGGAGTTGATTTCATAAGTAACTGCTGTTGCTCCATTTGCCCTGTGGATTGTCTTCTGCCACAAATAGTATTTTGCATACCTGAGGATCACCTGAACACTATAGTATTTTGTGAAGTCTCTTAAATTGACAACATGTAAAGTTCAAATTATAAGACATGTGCTTGGTAATAATAAAAACACAATTTAATATTCTATTATAAAGTATTTATTTATGTAATGGTTTTCCCTAAAACTCAAGCTCTCATCAACAATAACTCCCAGGAATTGTTTACTTGGGACTTGAGTATGGGCTCAGAACAGTCTCATAATACACACATGCACACAGAAAGATTCAAACTTGTATTTAATTATCCGCAAAAGGATTCACACTTGTATTTCCGGATCCACACTTGTGTTTTTCAATGCACACACAATGTGTTGCGTTTCATATACAGTAGGCCTACATGTAAATAAAATCAAAATACAGAAAAAAGTTTTACATGTGTAATTTTGATCCACACATATTTGTTTTCCGTTTA